ATATATATATATATATAAGAGAGAGAGAGAGAGAGATTTATTATCACGAAAATGTATAGAAAGTGCTTTAATCGCTAGACCATCCACTGTACATTTGCCTCTCATTTTTTTCAAAATGTCACTATCCTTGGCAGATCTTCCATTATCACAATGTGACAAAATAATAACCAAAGTGATAAAACTATAAACAAAATAAAAAAAACCCAATGAGATTGGATCGGCTGTACCCCCAAACACACATTGAAATAAAATTCGATGTAAAAGTTTAAAGTTTCACCGACCTCTCTCCTTCGTCTGAATCAACCAAATGACCATTTCAGAAAAAAATCTAAGATAGTTGCTTGATGTAATTAATTGCTAAATCCCAGATATTACATCTGTATCTTTAACAGTTTTAAAATTAGAACAATTTGAAATTTCACTGGATTTTGCATTTTACTAAAACGGGCCTACAACGAAATTCTGACATTCATAGTTCAAAGTAAATTGCTCGCATACATCCTTGTGCAAATTAATTGAAGCAAAACGAATAATTCCGTTATTATTTACTTTTTTTTTTTTTTTCGTATTTTTCCAATGAAACATGACCCAGTGCATATGCTAGTACTTCGTATGTCTATTCCACGAACTCTTGACCACTGATTCTCGATTGAAATCAGGAGAGTTTCCGGGCCTATATTACTTTGATTTGCTCGCTGGTAAAGCTTGCCATTGTGTTGGCGCAGCGTTACAATTTTCGTACGATTCCTTGGAGTAACGCCCATTGCAGGCAATAGCCGTAGGACAAGTAATCGACAGTCGAGACAATAGTGTCTGGGCGCGATGAAAATCTGATGCGATCACGGATGACGCTATATTTTTCAAGGCCAAACAAATTTCATCATACACCCCGAAAATAGATTCACATCACTGCAAATGAGGAGAAAATAGAAATCGATTACCCCCTGTCACTCCAGTGAGTAAATCTTGAAAGGGAAGTCTAGATTTAAATCCAATCGAGAATCTGTGGTCAATCTGCAAAGAAAGAATGGATATACGAAAAAAATAACATGTGCACTGGATAATGTTTCATTGGAAAAATACGAAAAAAAAAAAGGAAATTATAATGGGATTATTCGTTTTGTTTTAATTAATTTCCACATGGGTGTAAACGTGTTGGTAATGAAGGGTAGAGAATTCAGTGTACCTTATAACATACTCTGTCACAGTTGGCGATTTTCAAATTTCACAAGCCAATAGGTTATTAAAACAAGTTTCGTCATTACGAGATCGCCTGAACAAGCCATGACAGGTTCAAACAACGATCATCCGATGATCACTGAAGTTAAACAACATCGAGCCTGGTCCTTACCTCGATGGGTGACTGCTTGGGAATACCAGGTGGTGTAACCATATGTATGCGGGTGGTGTGATGGATAACGGCTCTGAATTGGAAATACGAGAGCCGAGTTCCAATTGCAGTCGGGTTCGTCATAATTCACTTACGTGCAAATAACCTTGAGAAATGTACGAATCCACCTCTTTCCCTCCCCATCTATGAGTTTATTAGTAAGACTTGTGCAACCAGTAAATCATTATTATCTTCAAAAAAAAAAAAATACTTGTCATCTAGAAATATTTTCTGGGTGTAAATAATTTTCAAAAAGTTGATAAACCGTAAAAAAAATCAATGTAGTGATCAAGTGATGCCGAGGTAATGTCATGGATATCCAGACAGAAAGTGTAATCGATGAGCCGGGTTCAAATTTCGGCTCAGCCTGTCGTTTTGTTTACACTTTTTGCGAAGATGGTAACAAGATAGCACTCTACTATATATATATATATATATATATATATATATATAGTTAGTTTTAAAAACAAGGAATGCATTGATTTTAATTTTAATAGTCTCTAAAGCCCTTTCAACCAACATCTCATCAGGAGACAATCGTTGGATAATTAATCAACGAAAAGAATATTAACGACAATGAAGAGCAAAAAAGTGGGGAAACACACAAAATAACAAACAAGTGTATATACTTGTAACGAGGGGAGGGGAAATAACGTGTAAATAAAATTAGCGAGGGACAGTTAAAATAAAATATCCCCCAACAGATTAAGAGACTTTACAAATTCTTTCTGCCGGCAGAGAGAAGGTTTTCTAAATCCTATACAGACCGATTCCAAAATCTTCAAATGATTGTTGGAATCGGCTGTATGAATAATTTTAAACCACTCCCTTTTATACGACTTGGCACAAGCTATATTCTCAACTAAATGTTGAGCAATAGCCGATTCCATATTCATGGGGGGGGGGGAAGATAGCATATTTTATCTATCTTACCAAGTCGTATTTTGGAAGGTACATGCTGATTGATTCTAGTTTCCAAATGCAAGGTTGTACGCCCCACATAACCAGCAGCGCACTGGCAATTAAATTCATATACTAAATTACTCAGTTTGATGTAGGGCAATACATCCTTGCGAAAAGACGGAATATATATATATATAGTGGAGATATCAAGACATTCATTTCTGTAGTTCACTGCTACCAGCAAGCAGAATTTTTTATTATGCTGATGATGGCCATGTTGGCCGAAACTAGTCAAGGAATCTAAATGAAATAGTAATAAAACGAAAGAATATTAATATACAACCCAGTATGTCTGAAGATTTTAATTTTTTAATATTTTTATTGTTCAATATATATATATATATATATATATATATATATATATATATATATATATATATGTAAATCTTTTCATAACGTCTCTATATATATATATATATATTTATTAAACTTATTAGACGTTATGAAAAGATTTACATAAAATAAATAGACAACACTTGTCTATATTATTTAATGAAACGTGTGTATATATATATATATGGCAAAGAAAATTCTACGAGTTTTGTTCGGCTACAACCTGAAGGGACACAGCATTTAAAAAAATGAGTTTAATACAAATGATCAATATCAGAATTTATAAAAAAAAAAAAGAAAAAATTTTCTTGGTCAGACCGAGAACTTTTCAGCAGCCTGTCTTAAGTAAACTTTGCATTTAATAACATATAACACCCACCTCCACTTTTTAAAAATTCATGTATGCAAGTCCAGGTATCAGTAGGCTAATGTTTTCCCAGCCGCTGTAGACGGCCACTATTTGTAAAACGAGCCATAATACTCTAACATAAAACACAAACAGATTAAATGTTGTATGTCGTCAAATACGATGCATTTGTCCCTTCGTGTTTTGACGTCTCCTTTTGTCGAGTGATTGCCCGTTTCTTGTTTAGTTGTTTCCCAAAATGAATAATTTCAAACAATTAACCCTCCTTTTTTTTTTCATTCACGTCAAGTGTTCAACTAGCAGTTAATTTACGAATGAAGTCCATTCTTTCTCGTCCTGTCAACGTTGCAAATGAGATCTTTGTCGCGAGCACACGATCACACGTGTGAGATCCCTTTTCTTTGAATCATCTCTGCCTTTCCCACTTCTTCAAAAAGTGTGTCTGTCACTGTGTGTCTGTGTGTGTTTATATATATATATATATATATAATCATATAACTATATATATATATATATATATATTTATATATTTTGCATATGTATGTATATTTTCCACTAATAATATCTATATATATATATATATATATATATATATATATATATATATATATATATATATATATATATATTATATATATCACCTCACCCTTCCTCAAAACCCCATCTTCCGTCTGTCAGTAATTGTTTTATCTCTTACACCAGTTCCAGCACCTCCATCCCAAAGAACAATGTCTTATGTAAACATTAGTCGACCCCTTAGAAAAAGACAAAAAATAAATAAATAATATATCGATAGGGTTGAGGATGCATATTGGTGTGTGTGTGTGTGTGCTCTCGCGCGTGCGCACGCGCGTTTAGTGCTGGCGTTTAAGGATAAGAAGGCAAAAATAGTGAGAAGAGGGATGAGGAAAAGAGAGTAGGGGGGGAGATGTTTGGGAAAAGGGGAGAGAAATATATCTTCTTTTTGCTGGTGTTCTTTTATACCTACTCCCACTCCTCCTTTTCAGCACCCGTTACTCTCCCTCCCTACTTATTATATCTGGACCCTCTCTCCTGTCCCTCAGCCTTACTCTCCCTCTGTGCGCATCTTCTTTTACAGTTACCACCCAGCACGTGGCCGCCGCCTTTTAGTTCATTCAAACACTAACCCCAACGCTTGTCTAACATATCGTCGGTGATTTCTCCATATTTAGAGATTACCGCTTGCTAAAGTGACCAGAATTAATTCTATTATTATGAGAGCGTTTGGGCCTGGAAGATTTTCAGGTTGTCGTTCCTTCGGGTTTGCTGTCTCAGATTTTTTTTTAATGTTTCTTTTTTTTATTCGTTTTTTTTTCTTTTCAAAATATCTATCTACACTTTGGATGTTTTTTTTTACTCTCTGAAGGCTTCGTTTCAATCTAACGTGTTTGTATTCTGTCTTTTATGTTAACCCTCTTTCTTTCGATTACTTGCAAAAAAAGAACTTCTTTACCTTTTTCTTTCTGTCGATCTACCTTCTGTATTTCTTTCTCTCTCAAAAAAATTATTCGTTTCTCTCTCTCTTTCTCTTTTTCTCTCTTTTAATTATTCCATCCTCGCTCTTCTTTCGATTATTTGAAAAACCTTTCTTTATTTTTTTTCTTTTTGTCGATCATCCATTACTTTCTTTATTCTTGCTTATTTTTCTCTCATTTCTTTTTCTTTCCTTCCTTAATTTGTTAAGTCTTTGTTTTTTTTCTTCTTTCTCAATCTCTTTCGTTTTTTTATTCTCCTTGATTTTTTCTTTCTTTTCTTTTCTTTTCTTTCTGCCTCTTATTCTATTTGCCTTCATTCTATTTTTCATGAATTTTCCTTCTTTTTTTGTCGAGTATTTCCTTCACTTTCCATTTCGATTTCACTCTTTTTCTTTATTTTCCTCGTTTATTTGATCTTTATTAATTATTTCCTTCATTCTTCCTCTCAGGAATGTCTTTTATGTTTTTCTTTTTTTTCCTTCATTCTTTATTGATTTTTTTTTTTAACTTGGCTTTCTTTCATTTTCTCATTCGTTTTTCTTTACCGAATTATTTTTTCTTTTCGTCCATCTTTATTCTTTCCATTTTTCTTCGTTCTTTTTGTTGAATTAATTCTCTTTTTCATTTCTTTCTTTTTGTTTCTTATTATCTCGATGTCTTTCTCTTCAGTTTTGCACCTTGTCTATCATATTCTTCTCAAATTCCATTTTCTGTACTTCTTTCTGAAATTTTTCTGTTTTCTTCTTCTTCTTCTTCTATGCAAGCAGTTATCCTCTCATTTTCCAATTCTTGTTGTTATTCTTCTTCGTTTTCTCCTTCTTTACTTCTTATCGTCCCATCTAATAATTCAACTTTTTCATTCCGCTGTTCTTGTGAGAGTTCTCATTTCTTCCTCTTCTTCTTCTTCTTTTTATCTTCTTCTTTTCACATTTTTTTCTCTTCCTCTTTCTCCTCGCACCTTCTTCTTCTAACGTCTTCGTCTCTTTCTCACATCATCTTCTTCTTCTTCTAAGTTCTCCAAACTTCTTCATATAACTTCTTTTACTTTTTCGCTTCTCACTTCTTCTTCTCCTCCTTTTCTTCTTCTTCTCCTCCTCCTTTACACTTTTTCTTCTTCTTCTCCTCCTTTACACTTCTTCTTCTCCTCCTTTACACTTCTTCTTTTTCTTCTTCTTCTTCTTCTCCTCCTTTACACTTCTTCTTCTTCTCCTCCTTTACACTTCTTCTTCTTCTCCTCCTTTACACTTCTTCTTCTTCTTCTTCTTCTTCTCCTTTAAACTTCTTCTTCTTCTTCTCCTTTACACTTCATCTTCTTCTTCTTCTCCTTTACATTTCTTCTTCTTATTCTTCTCCTTTACACTTCTTCTTTTTCTCCTCCTCCTATTCTTCTCCTACTTCTGACTTTTTCTTCCTCTTCTTTTCTCTTCTTCCTCTACTCTTTCTCACTTCTTCTTCCCTCCCTCCTCCTTCTTCTGCTTCTTCTTCTTTTCCGTCTCACATATCTATTCTTCTCACTTCTTCTTCTTCTAATTTTTCTTCTTTTTTCTTCTTCTTCTTCAGCTTCTCAAATCTTCTTTTTTCTTTTACTTCTTCTTCTTCTTCGGAATAATTCTCGTGCAATTCTCCTATACATCGTACTCTTCATAATATTCTTTTAATATCGTTTCATGCAAAATCCACTCTTCCTTAACCCTTCATTTTTAGCATTGTTTATTTTCTTCCTGAACTCAATGTCACCGGATACTTTTTAATGTCCTTCTGCATTTCTTCTTTTAAAATTCCTAATTCTATCGCATCTCCCCAAAAATGAAAAGAAAAAATTCCCTCCATCTCTGCTTATTTGGAGAAAACAAAAGATCCAGGCGTTCTTTTCGACCCATCTTCGTTCCGTTTCGTTCGATTTCATTTTGCTCTTAACCTCAAAAACAATGCACTTTCTCCAGCTTATCTCTTCATCCTATCTTAACTCAGTCTTCTATATTTAGAGATTCCCTTGTAACACACACGCACACTCGGCGAGTAAAAGATAAAGAGAGAGTCTGTCTTATTTATTTTCTCTATTTCCTTGTTTCTTGTGGAGAGTCCTTCAAAAATGGAAAATTAATCTCCGATGAAAATTAATACCAATACCTGACGAGGCCCTCAAATTAGATTCATTCAAGAATACAATTTCTGTGGCATATTTCTATTTAGGATTATATCTGTGTCAACTAGTTCGACCTTTTCTTTTTCTTCATTCGCAGAGGTTTAACCCCAAAGTCAACTGCTAAATTTTCAGGGTATAATGACGTACGATAGGCCAGGGAACATTTTTGCTACATCCTGACACCCAGCTAACACACTTGTCTCCTTGTCTTGCGTCATTTCTTTTGTTTAATTCCCTCTTTCATTTATTCGGTTTTTCTATAACAACTTCTTTTCTTTTAGTATAGTTTCGTATATATATATATATATATATATATATATATATATATATATATATATAACACTTTTGATATATATATATATA